ATTGCAACAACATGGATGGACCTAGAAGATACTGTGCTAAGTGAAATAAGTCAGAGAAAGACAAATACCACATAATTTCACTTATATGTGGAATCTAAAAAACAAAATAAACCAAACAGAAACAAACTCATAGAACATCTATGGTTGCCAGATTGGTGAGGAGGGAGTTGGGGAGATAAGTGAAAAAAGGGATTAAGTACCAGTTATGAAAACAGTGCCAGTTATGAAAACAGTCACGGGGATGAAAAGTACAGCATAGGGAATATAGTCAATAATATTGTAATAACTATGTATGATGTCAGATGGGTATCAGACTTGTCAGGGTGATCACTTCCTAAGTTATATACATGTCTAATCACTATGTCGTACACCTGAAACTAATATAATATGTCAAGTGTAATTGAAAAAAATTTTTAAAAGATATGCTAAAATTGTATGCACCTAATAAAAGGTCATCAAAATTCATGAAGCAAAAATTTATAGAACTAAAGGGAAAAATAGATGAAGCCACAATTATACCTGAAGCTTTTAATACTTGTCATTAAGTAATAAACAGGAGAACAAAATACAGCAAAACAGTAAGGATACAGAAAATTTGAACAACACCATCAAATAGTTTAACCTAATTAACATTTGTTGAATAGTATAGCCCAAACTTCAGAACACATGTTCTTTACAAGTACAAAAGAAACATTCACCAAGCTAGGCCTTCTGGGCTATAAAACAAGTTGCAATGAATTTTAAAGGATTGCCATTACACGAGATACATTCTGATGAGAATGGAATTAATTAGAAATCAGTAATAAAAAAATACTCAGAAAATCTCAAAAACATTTAGGGATTAAATAGCATACTTTTAAATAATCCATGGTTCAAAGAATATGCAAGAGAAATTAGAAAATATATTTAATTGAACAGTAATGAAAACACAACATATCAAACTTTGTGGAATACAGCTAAAGCAATGCTTGAAAATTTATAGCTCTGTATTTTAGAAAAAAAAAAGGCTTAAAATCAAATGATTTAAGCTTTTATTTTATGAAGCTTGAAAGAAAAAAGACAATTAAACCCAAAATAAGTAGAAGGAAGGAAATGATAAAAAATGAAAATTAGTTCAACAGAAATGAAAATCAGATCAACAATCAACAAATCCAAAAGTCGGTTCTTTGTAAAGATCAGTACAAATGATTGGTAGATAGATTAGACAGATAGGTAGATAAATAGAGAGATAAATAAATAAATGTTACCATTACCAGGAATGAAAGAAGGGATATAAATATGGATAGTGAAGATAGTAAAAAGATAAGAGAATACTTACAAATTTGACAACTTAGATGGACAAATTCTTTGAGACAGATTACCAAAACTGACACAAGAAAATCAAATGATCGCTATATCTTCTATAAATTTATAACTAAAAAATTTTCTATAACGAAACTCTAGACTCGGTTTTCTTGCTAAAGTCTATCAAACATTTATAAAATACAAATCTTACACATTTTCTGAAAAGAGACACTTCCAACTCATATAACTCAAATAATGACCTGAAAATAAAGCCGAACAAGGATATTATGAGAAAAGTAAATCAAAGACCAATATCTCTCATCAATGGAGACATAAAAATCCCTAATGGAATAACAGCAAATTGAATTCGGTATGACAACACATCGTGACTAAGTGGGGTTTATCCCAGATATAAAAGGTTAAATTAACATTCAAACAATGTAACTCATACTACTAAAGGGCAAAAATCACATGATCATCTCAATCGATCTATAAAAAGCATTTAATACCTATTCATGACTTAAATTTATTTTTCAGCAAACTACAAATACCATGAAATTTCTTCAATCTGATAAAGGGCTTTTAGAAAGAACCTACTGCTACTTACTGGTGAAAGGATGAATGCTTTCCCCATAAGATCAGGAACAAAGCAAGGATGCCCACTCTCACTACTTCTACTCAATTTAGTATCAGAAGTCCTGGCAAGTGTAACAGCCATAAAAACAAAAACAAACAAGCAAAAAAATGCATACGAGTTGGAAAAAAAAAGAAGTAAAACTATTCATAGACAACATCATTGACCATAGAAAATCCTAAGAATGTACAAAAGAAACTACTAGAATAAGTGAATTTAGGAAGATCTAAAGACACAAGGTCAATAGACAAAATCACGTGTACTATATATATATGAGTAACAAATAACTGAAATTTGAAATTTTTTAAAAATGTCATTCACAATAGGATGAAAATCTAAAGTAGAGATAATTTGAATGGAAGATGTGTAAGATATCTACACTAAAAATTACAAAATATTGTTGAAATTAAAGATCTATGTAAATGGGAGGAAATATCAGGTTTGTACATCAGAGGACTCAATGTTGTTGAGATTTCAGTTCCCCCTAAACTGATCTTTAGATTTAGTGTAGTCCCAATCCAAATCCCATTGTGCTTTTTAGTGGAAAATTGACATGCTGGTTCTTAAATGTTAGGGAAGGGACCAGGACCTAAAATGGCCAAGCCATTCTTAAAGAAAATGGGTGACGGACTTGCACTACCTAATTTCAGAACTTGCTGTAAAGCTACTGTAATTGACGCAGTGTGTTGGTGTAAGGACAGACATATAGATTGATAGAGAAGAGAGAGTCCAGAAATAGGCCCACACTCATTCAGTCTGCTGACTTTTGACAAGGGCTCCCAAGAAATTTAATTAAGGAAAGGAAAATCATTTTACAAATAGTCTGGGACAATGGACTTTCTATACGGAAAAGATTGAACCTCAACTCCTACCTCTCACCATAATTGATTTGAGATGCTCATAGGCCCAAACATGAAAGCTAACTAAAACTATAAGCCTTCCAAAATATATATATCAATAGCAAAATAATGTTGTAACCTTGAGGCAGGCAAAGGTTCTTGGATTTCTTTACAGGAAAAAAAATCCAAAGAAAAAAACTGATTAATTGAACTTCAAATAAAAATAACAAACAGCTTCTGCTCATCAAAGACACAAGTAAATGAACAGGTAGGCTGTACACTAAGGAAAAGACATCCATAATACGAATACTGGATGGAAGACTTACATATGAAATACATAAAGAATTTCTATAACTCAATAATAAAAAGATAATCAGCTATATAAAAAAATGAGTCAAAACACTTGAAAAGACATTTCACAGAAGAAGATATATGAATGGGCAGCTGGCACATGAAAACGTGCTCAAAATTACTAGTCATCAGGTAAATGATAATTAGAATCACCGTGAGATACCAATATACACATGTTGGAAGGGCTAAAATTAAAAAGACTGACAACAACAAATGTTGGGAAGGATATGGATTGGCTGGAATTCTCATACATTCCTGGTGGGAGTATAATATGGGAACCATTTGTCAGCTTTTTATACAGTTGAAAATGCATCTATGACCCAGCAATTCCACCTCTCAGGAGAAAGAAAACATGTGCACAGAAGGACTGTGTCAGAATGTTTATAGCAACTATATTTGTGATGGCCAGAACCAGGGGTAGCCAGGTGTCAAGTAATAAGAGAATGGACATGTGAATTACGATATAGTTATACAATGGAGTACTACTCAACAATAACTAATTACTAATACTTGCAGCAGTATGGTTAAATCTCAAAAAACATGCTGAATCAAAGAAGCCAGACAAAAAATGAGTATATACTATACGATTACACGCCAGACAAAAAATGAGTACTGTATGATCACACGTATATGAAATTCTAGAGAGGCAAAACTAATCCAGTGACAAGAATCAGAATATCAGAACAGTGGTTGTCTCTGAGGGAAGAGGACTGACTGAGAAAGAGAACAAAGAACTTGCTGGAGTGATAAAATCTACACACAAGTATCACATTGCCATCCCAGTTAAAATGAAGTAATTTCTTTGCTTGGAACCTGGGCATCAGTATTTGTATAGTCCCTCCCACCTCCATTCACAGGTAATTCTGGTTTGCAGTAAGGGTTGAAAAAGAGCACTCAAGAATCTCTACTCTATTTTGACTCCAAGCAATATTTGTCTTAATTTTACAAATGAGAATTATAAAATGACCATTTGAAGTAGATTTCCAAAACAAATGATTCTACTATTATTTTGTAACAGAGTAAATGCAAAAGATTCCTATTAGTACAAAAAAAGCACTTCTCTCTCTGGATAAACTCGTATGCTTGCTGGCTAGATGAGAAATGCCTAACTAGTATGCTCCTAACTTTTGCCTTGGCTGCCAAGAGGTTCAGAGTCAAATTCAGTGCTTAGTGATTAACATCTCAATAGCCTGATGCACCAATTTTCTTTGGGTGGGAAGGTGAGCAGTGGGAGATAGAAGGTAGGGGCATTATTATCCTGTTACACACTGGGAAAATGATGGTGTGTAAGAATCACATAAAATGTTGGCCGTTTTGAAAATAAAATTTTTTTTTCAATGAAAATATAAATACACTGTATGCTTCTCCTTCTTGTCAAAATTGGTTAGATTAGGAAAGGCTTTTGTGTTGCCTGAATGAGTCATCTGCTAAAGGTGAGTCACTATCCAACCAAATGATTAAATGTAAAAAATAAAACAAAAAACAAAAAAACAAAAAAAACATCATTTTAAAATACAACCATATCGACAAGGAAAACACTTCACTTACATTTGATTATAAAGGTTAGACTAGAGGAACCAATGTAAAAGTATGGAATACGTTAAGAGTCCCTAATGGATCATAGATGGCATAAAAAACTTAAGTGCACTTCATTACATTCCTAGGGTAAACGAAGAAATCAGATCTGTACATAAATGTGCTATCATTCTGTTTCTATGATAACTGGTGTTGGCTGCTTTGATTTTATCTGCTGGATAGGATATTTTCTGTCCCTTCTCATTTAACAAAGCCATACAACCTTGGCCCTCAGGAGAAAATAAAACATCTTTATTCCCAAAGGGTGCATTCTCATGTAACATTAAGGATAAAAAACAACAACAAAAGCCACTCACCTGAGCTCTTTCCTTGTTAAGCAACCCAATCAGTTTCTCCTCTTTCTGCACTTTTCTCCGTGTTGCACAGGACTCAGCACTTCTCTCACGGTGGACTTTTTTTTCTAGTAACCTATTTTGCATCTGATTGACTTGCTTTGTTGCAGCCGTGTGCGAATCAACCTGTTGATATAAAGTAATAACACGTAATGAAAACTTTTGACATGTAAAAAAATGGATTCATGTATTCAGATTCTTGAAAATTCTAAACTTGCTAAGCTTTGGAAAAAAGAATAAAATGGAGAAGAAACCAACAAATAGACATTAAATAAAAAATACAGTAGTTGGCAAGATCCTGACCCTTTCTCATCAGTAGGACAAGACCAATTAAAATTAGTGTCACTGTTGTACATTCTTCAGAAATTATCTCTACAGATAACTTACTTATTGAAAACAGCATTTTTACAGAAAACTGTCACATTTTAAAACTACACATGAATTCATTATTAACCTTTGCTGGGACTGGATCCAGTATATCTTTTAAGTTGAAATTCTTATTAATTAGAATCTTAGTTTTCTATCACAGAAGTGAACCTAATTAATATGAATGTGTAAAAGTAGCTTATGATGTCGCTTACTTTTTAATCCAGGTAATTTAACCTTTGAGCAGATGAATAACAGTTCATGTCATCTAATACTCAGAGGTTAGGTTCTACAACAAGCTTGCTGTCTCTAAGATTTCTATTTCACACAAGGGTGTTATCTGGGGGGATGACTGACTCTTAATAACCTTGAAGTAGACAGAGAAATAGAAGGGCAGATCCCTCAATACAGGTGGAAGATTGAAAGCCACAGTGAAGATCCTTATGTGAAGTATTTGTTCAGCAGCTTCATGTTTACAGCAGCTGAAAGTGCCATCACTTTTTTTCATGGGTTAAATAGGAGCAGGAGATAGGAACAGCACCAGGAGAAATAATGGAGTAGCCAGTGCCAAAACAGAGAATGAATTATATTTGCTGGGCAAGCAGAGCCTTAATTTGTAGCCTCTCAATTTTTAGCTTCTCTTGCCAAGTGTGTTCACTCTTTACTTTTAAAGTATGCTGGTGTTTTGTGGCTAGGTCTAAGTTGTCACAACACCATTCTTTATTCATCCTTCTTCTCAGATCCCAGCTTCTCAAAGGACAGGAAAAGCCATTGCCTTTCAGTTACCTGAAAATTGGAATTGTTTCCTAATCACCCAGGGGTTCTTTATTTGCACCTCTCGACAGTCCTAAACTACTGGGAAAATTCATGTGTGACCACCTCCCGAATCACTCTTCTACAGAAGTCATCTTGGTAATAAATGTTCATCATACCACTAGTGTGAAACAAGTTTCCCATGGACATACTACATGGTTTTACCCTAATAAAACACTGGCTTGCCAATCATTGTGAAAATGCGTTCTAGGATATAAAGAATTAGTTAGATACTGAACTTTTTAGTGCTTCCTATATGCTAGGCACTTTAGGTATCACAGTTTTTGCCTCTGATGTACAAATCAGAGTTGGTCTAATATATTCAGTTCTTTGTGAGACTTCCTAGAAGACATGATGCCTCTCGGATCTGCTGTCTGTTGGCTGGATGGTTAGATTACATTGCCATGGACACTTCCAGCTAATAAACGAAAAGGTATCCAGTTTATGGAAAAGTTCTATTTCTAGGGAAACTTTAAAAATGGTTAAGAGTGAAGTGGGACATTAACTCTTAACTGTGAACACAGTGAAACTTTTCCTCAAAGATACAAAAGTAAGTAAAAAAAAAATCTCTGGGTATCCTGCATAATCAAATAAATAGAAGGATACTATCCAAATGTGTGTCATTTTCAAGAAAGTGGCTATTCAAACAAGGTACTTTCTATTTAATTTTCCTTTGGTATTTCACACTGTTCTACAAAATCAGGAATACTTTTGGATCTTTAAAATTTAATAAGCCAAAAATATGCTTATAACTGAGAATTTATATTCTAGTTTTCTCACATATAGAAAATAAACATGAAGACAAGTTTAACAATTATTTTGAAAACTGAAGATCAAGAAAGAATGTTGTAAACTTAAGTTCAGCATAAAGATTACTACTACCAACAGTAATATGTTCACCCCTAAATTTGCTGTGGGAACCTTCAATTTAGGGCAAAACAACAAACGTTTATTGTCTGAAATGTGGGATAGCTTGAACATTTTAACTCTGACCTACAGCTATTCCTCTGCCTAGGTAAAGCATTTAAGAAGTATATGGCTCATTATGCTCAGGTATTTATACTATCACAATATGGATTTGAGTATCAAAATAAGAAGGAGATGTTCATAAGCTGATAAAAGGATCCACTACTGGCTCCTGAAGAAACTGCTTATTCAAGGCTTGAATTGAGGACTTCAATAATGCTGGTTTTCCAGTCTGGCTTTGGCATTCTCATCTGGGAATTCTAGAGCTTTTGTCCACCTCAGAAGCAATCTTAGTGAACTATGGTTTCCTTCCATGAATTTTGGACATTAAATCTCTGTGGAACCCTGAACACGCCTGATCCTGTCTGATCTCAGAAGCTAAGCAGGGTCAGGCCTGGTTAGTACTTGGATGGGAGACCACCTAGGAAGACCAGGTGCTATAGGTGTAAAAAAATTAAAAAATAAGGGATTGTGAGCTGACAAGGTCCTTGCAATCTGTGAGGTCAACCAAGGGTTGCCTTGCTTATTAAAAAAAAAAAAAAAAATTAAATCTCAGTGGTTGGCATAAATAGAGTGTGGTAGCCCTGATTACAGATTCCTCTAATCTAACAGTGCTACCTCAGGAGCTGTCAGAATGGCTAGAGAGTGATTTTAGCTATATATACCATCATTTTGATTGGGGCAAATACCCCAAAAGATTTGCTTTTCAGGAAAAAATATCAATGTCTCTACTATCTTGACAAAAATTCATTTCCAATTTAACTCTAGTAACAGGATTTGAGGACTTTAGGAAGAAGGCTCAGTTTATGATACGTAGCGAAACCTAGTATTGATAAATTACCTCCTTCTTCTTTTGCAAAAAGATGATTTAAGTTCGCTGAGATCCTTAGGATGATGTGCTATTTTCTAATACCTAACCAAAACATGTTTAAGAATTCTAAATTTAAAAGGCATAACCACTGACATAGCGGGAAATAACATTTTAAAAAATTAGACATTCATAATTTTCCTTTGAATACTGAATCAGAAACATTTTATTTACCTAACTGTATACATTTTCTGGTCCACTGGCTTCCTTTTTAAGTATCTTTGTCCAAAAAGTACAAATCCAGAGTTCATTCACTAGCCTGTTAAATAACTAGAGTGATCCATGTATAGAGTAAATGTTTTTAGGGAGATTAGAAGGAGATTCTGTCACTAAAAGAGAAAAATTTGGGATCATGTGATTAATATTCATTCTGGACTTAAAATTATTTTTGTTATGGAAGCAATCAATTGTGGAAACTATCTTATACTGTATCATGCAAAGGAACAGAATACAGGACTGTTTATGCTGTTATACTTTGCTTTTGAATATTTTTTCAGCATCACAAAATCCGTGAACTTTGAAAATAAAAATTAAGATACTAAAGTTTAGCCACATATAGTGAACCTATATTTCACACTATAATTATTAAATATATTTGCATAAAGTATTAGAGAAATAAAGTCACATCCGATAAGTATTAATATGCTGTTAAACATATTTAAATCATCATACTTTCTATACGCTGAGGCTGATTATGTTAACAGAAATTAACTAAGGTTTTAAGAATGCATATTAATCTTAGTGTTTTCTTTTTATTGATAATCTAAGTGCTCTATTCAAAAAAGAATATTTTTGATGGAGGCTCATTGGAAAAAAGTTCTATGTTCTATTCCCTACGTATAAAAAGTTTCATAACAAACATCCTTTGACTTTGATGAAACTGAAAATTCTGGTGGATAATAATTAGAATTTTATATCAGAGAATACAGCTATCAGTTTTTAAAATAGCTTCTTTTAAATTTCAATTAAGTTTATGAAACCGAAAAATTACAAAAAAGGAAAAACCCTACTTAAATTAGTGTAGGTTAAGTGGTGACCATTATTGCAAGGGAAATACTATGTCAAGGAAATGGTTCTTTGTTTTGTTGCGAAAGTGATAAAAACACAAAAGTCAATAAAACTGTTAAAATAAGTCTCAGTAATTACCAAGATCAAAATCCAGTGGCTTTTTATTAAACATGAACTTTTGTTCTGCCTTCTGCAATACGTAAATAGTGCTGACAATTGGTTTGTGAGGAATTTGCTACAATAAAATGTAATTGTATCATGAGAGAAAGGTGACAATCAGGAGATCATGAAAAAATTACATATTCTCACTGGTAGTTAATTAGCCATGCAAAACCTCCTCAAACAGATATTCTCTTCTATTAGGAATGATTACTATGCAGGCCTACAGATGTCAATACCACAGTCATTCAAATACTTCTTTCCAAACCCTACTAATAAGGTTGTAAAGCTCTGGTGCCAAGGTTTTGCTTCCAAAGAGCTAATTTATGACTAGAAGGATATTTTATGTCTTCAGTTGCAGCAGCTACAAAATTCAGCAAATCAGAACCATCTGTGCACTGATACTTGACTCACCATTCATCTAGCAGCCTATCAGTCACATTAGTTTGCATCCTGCATTTTTGGCTCATGAATACTTGTGATGATCCAAAGTTCATAAGAAATATTAAAAATGAATGGCATCCTGACCCAACCTTATTGTACACTCATTTAGGAAGAAAAACCTTCCTCACTTCTTTTTGCATGTGGATAGTGTCAGGGAAGAAATGAACATTTAGGTGCCTGTCTAGTAATGCTGACAGTAGTCTCAGGTTCTCCCTACCCTCTTACAAATGTTTTAAGTCCTAATTCTTTCATATTGTTTCAAGTTCTAATTCTTCTTTCCAGATTAATTCTTTTTTTTTTTAAGTTAATGTGAAGGAGTCAGTTGGAAGACAGCAAAGGAGAAGGTGTAACATTTTAAAATAAACTTTAAGAAATTATTTCTATAAATTGAAGTAGCTGCACATACAAATAATCTGGTCAAATCTAAGAATATTATTCTCACCAATGAATTATGGCCAAACTGGTAAGCAAAAACAGAAAGCAATAACTAAAGATAATATGAAGAAAAGCAGCAAATAGAGGTTCTCATGAATAAAGTCAGATTAGCCCTACCTAGTCATATCTCTGGGACACCAGTGATTGCTTTATTTCTTTAACAGTACACAACAGACCACAGAGCTTACTAATTTTCTCTAAGAGACAATATGTCAAAAGAACTTTCAACAAAATTTCTTGGAGCTGAGTTATGGGAAATAGGAATTAAATATAATAAACAAAAAACTGGGTCGTCAGACTCATTTGAAACCTAAACAACTTTCATTTGGTAGGAAGTTTCATAGAAGGTAATCCTAAGATCCCAGGGACTATGTTACTCACCTTTTGATTGTTTGGAGCAGGCACATTTATACTCTCTCCTTCAGTGGAAAATTTCAATGGTCCTAAAGGTATTCCACTTGGGTTCAGAATTTTCTTGAGCATTTGATAGTTTGGCTTTTCATCATATGCTAAATTATGAGCACATGTCAAATACTGGGCTATTTCACCTGTGAAGTATTAAAATTTTTAACATGTCATTCATAATTGGCAAGAATTGTTAAGACCCCAATATCCTCAAAATATTTTTTTCTCTTACATGTGTACACCACACGCATACCACACACACAGACCCTGAAGAAACTAAAAATGAATAATTAAATGAAAAGCCCTTTTTAAATGATATCCAGTGACCTAAAGATTTGACAAGATGGAAGAAATTGATAATTTTTTTACATATCTTTGTTGAAATAGTTACAATTCACTAATCTCATCAAAGGAAGCAGATTTTTAAATTTACAGTGATTTTGATTTATGGGGTACAACTTCTAAGAACTATCTGAATAATATAAAGGACCAGACATGTGTCATACTTTTTTACACTGAAGTTTTAAAAATTCAATTAAAAACAATTATTACTATTATAAACCTTTTTACTTCAAAGAAAAAATCATTGCAAATTTTAATTAAGGATTTGATTTTGAGATTATAACAGTTCTTTTAGAAATGACCTTGAATTCTACGTTCTTAGCCATGACTGACTTTAGAATTCGCCAAACCTCCGTTAGTCCTCCATACCTAGCTAGTCCAGTGCATTCACAGCATAGCTTTCCTGATTTAGTGCTGAAGGACAAGAAGCTGTCACCATTTTTTTTCTCTAATGTAATCTCCTGTCTAGAACTGTAACTCCCCTCTACCCCCAAAGCTTATAAACTACAAACCTTTAAATACGAGTAGAATTAGTAATCAAAAGTTACAATCATAGCTGCCTTAAAATAAATGTAGTTTGCATTTTAGTCTCAGATGAGATGATCCAGATACAAGTAAGTGATAATACCACAAACCGTTTAAAAACTGGCATGTTTTCTTTAGTTCGTGGTGATGTTTAGATATTCCACAAACTAGTTTTATAACTTTCCCATTCAAAAACTTATTACTGACCCAGAAACAAGTATTTCTTACTTTTTCACTAAGTTGTTTATATCCCCTGGTAAGAAAATCTGGGAAGCTTGGTTGGTTGGCAGGAATGATTTCCTAATCCTTCGCTTCCTCTCCAGGCCTACCTTATTCAAGTGGGGAACTGCAGAGACACTAGGCTTCAATGACCACAGGGAAAAATTCCAAAAGGAATAGTCATCATCTCTTCCTCCTCCATCAAAGTCAGAGAGTGACCATTTTACACCATATTGTTCACAGATCTTTTCTAGGAACAGAAGGTGAATGTGGCAAAGAACTCTTGGCTCTGGGTTTGGTTTTGTTTTGGATACTGTGGCATTTATGCAACCTACTTTTCCCCTAACATATAAGATAGATAAAATCTGTTATCTAGCATTCGATAAACCAGATTTCTATTAACTAGCAAGTGCTGTGAGTTCATCGTATTTATAACTCATGTTTTCAGGAGCCCTTTGGGGGCATCCAATTCCCAAAAGGATGATCAAGGAGAAAAAAGATTAAATTACATTCGCTGCCATTTTAATACAAATATTTTGTTGTTCTTTGGGTCTTTCAACATTGGTAAGCCTAATTTGGTATATATTATAATTCTATTAACCAAAATGCCCCAAATGGAGAAGAAAGCTGAATATGTTGGGAACACTTTTCACAAGTCACTGTTAGAAGACAATGGAAGACTCCTGGCATTCCACCAACTGATAGCAGCTGTGCTGCAAAATCTTCATGGGTTTGGGGTTTGAAAACATGAGGTACCAGTGAGGTAGGAGAGTGAGAAAAAGAGCCTCCTCTGTTAGAATTTTATTATTATAAACCTGAAGCTTAGACTATTGTGATGTAGTACTGGCTTAAAAATTAGTCTTTCAAGATCTGATTTATTATATTAACTACACTTTTTAATTTATTAGCATATTTCCAGAGCTATAAAACAAAATGCTTTGAGTAGTATGAAATTATGATATTCTTGAATCATCTGCTTTTTAAGCTAGTGAAATATTAAGTATCATTACTATCATTTCAAGAGATAGAAACTTTTGAAACTACTATTATTACACTGAGTTGGACATGCATGCTGCAAACTTGGCTATTTTATTTCATAAAATGTCTTAGTAATAAACCTTTTGTAAATCCGTTTAAATTTCATGCTTGCAATACCCCCTCTCCTAAGCACAACCAACTTAAGAGACTTTCAGTTAATATTAATGTTTCAACATTTTGTGCTTTAGATAGAAATCTGCATTTTATAAAATAATAGTATAGTAAAATAAATGGTTTGTACAGAAAAAGAGGAACCTGGATCTCTTCCCATTTCTTGTATCAACTTGTATCAAATCTTCTTTTAACTTAGCTCTAGCAATAGAAGTGTCACAGAATATACACTGGCCCACAGCATTTATCCTGTATAATCCAGGGCATCTGGGCTTTGTTTTCTAAACCAAATTGAACAGTTACCTTTTGTGCAGGAGAGACAGGAAAGGGAAAGGATATACAACTAAAAATATTTCTGACATTTCCCTATCTCTTTTTTTATGTCCTATTAAGTACCACACAAACTGAATGACTTGGTAAAAATACCAATAAGAATAACAGCCAATATATGTGTGTGTGTGTGTGTGTGTGTGTGTGTATGTATGCGCATTTGGACCAAGTTACTCAGTGCAATTACAAAAATGAAAAACTTTCATCTTTCAACCCATCTCCCCAAATGAGAATACTTTCCTGTTCACCTGCTTCCATCAGAAGAAAAGGGACTATAGAAAGTGTGAAGCAGAAGATTTACATTGGAACAGACTTATGAGCTTGGGAAATGGAAGGAGAAAAGCAGATCTGGTTTGTTCCTCTTTAGTTTCCTATGAAAATTTCGGTTTGTCAAAGAAAGGTTATAAGTTTATGATGATTTAATTTTTTTGAACTCTCAGATGGCAAGTGACACGATTTGACTGTAGCTAGAGGGTCAGTGTACATATTCACTTTCATAAGTCATCTAAAAGCTAACTCTAAGATTGCCCAATGTAAATAAAGAACAAGATTCACTCTGCTTATCTATCTCTGAGAAAAAGCAAGCCTAACAGTAAAAGGGGGCTCTTTTTTATAAGACAGTGTAACCCAGTTGTTAAATTGGTGCTGAAAAATGTGCCATGCATGCATTTGCAAATGACAAGCACTTGGATAATTCTGAATTGACTATTTTCACTTATGATACTGTCAATTAAATTCCAAAAACGGTCTATACTAACTTGAATGAGAAAATCATTTAATAAAATATACCTCTAAATCTCAATGTCAAACACCTTTGCCAATCCAAAATTTTGTTGCTGTCTGTTCAGTCAGAGTGTAACCCAAGGTCTAAACATTCATTTGTTTAATGATTGTTTTTTTTTTTAATTACTGATCAAAGTATTTTTTTCTTAGATCCACTTTATATCTTCTTTCAACAATATATAAAGGAACGAAGACAGAAAGTCAACTTCAGAAATATCATATAAAGTTGACTATTAAATCTAGGCATGATTCCCAAAATATGGGAAAAAAAAATTTTTTTTTTCTAAAAAAAAAAAAAATTCAGTCGGCAGAGTCTAAACATTTTCTTGCAGCATTCTTGTGTCAAAAACAATCTAAACAGTCTCTTCTCTAGCAACCATGAAGCGTTTCCTCCCACCCCTTTGTAATAGGAGTGGGTTGATTAAGCAAAAGCTACAAGAGTGGCAAATGTGGTGACCTGTAAATCATGCTGGAGAAGGTAGAAGTTATCATTTGACTTACAGCAACTGCTTCCAGAAGGAGCCCATTTAAGCACTGACTCAGGGAGTTCATCCAACAGACTAAAACAAAATAGAGTGAGACACAATAAATTTATCTGCAATCCTGTGATTCATTGTTTTGATTAGAAAACAAAACTCAAATTGTGTTGGTGAGTCACCAATATCATGAATTTTAATGTTTTTTCACCCACCTATAATGGGCAAGTAGAGGTGGGGAAGATCCCCTAATTTTCATTGAACAATTTTATATCAATAACCTAGAAACTAAACAATGAATAATTATACTATAAATGCTTTAATTCAAAGTTCGCCGTTGTAGAAATGTAGCAGTATCTGTCATAATTTTTTCCTAAAAACAAGAACAAAATCATAGAAAAACTGTATCTGGATTTTCAGGATATTTCTCCTCAAGTACTTACATTGAAGAGGAGTAAATTATTTAATTACCTATGTATACTGTTCTCCATTGGGCAGTTTTTTATGCTATCCTATGATTAAACAAACAGGTTAATAAGAAATATGAAAAAAACAAAAAAAACATTATTCTAACAATGTACAGTGTTTCAGGCTGAACAAGTACAACTCTCTTAAGTTGCTTCAGCCACAAATATATAATCATTCAACTAAAATTACTGATATGAATGTTTGATTCATAACTCTGACAAAGGCAGAATTGCAATAATAAATGCAATGATCTAATATCACCTTATGTCAGAAAAATAAAGGGCTAAGGGAGACACAGTATCATGTTTGAATATGCGAGCATACCCTCATGGGAAATTCAGTGTTATGCCTTCTCAGCAAGTTGAATAAATTACGATTATGTATTATATACTATAAGTTTGAAAATGTCTATGGTTTACCTTAATTATAAACTTTATGTTAGCTTTATTGATCTACAGGTTTATATTAGTAATCAAATCAAAATGAAGATATTAACGATATATAAGGGTCTCCAAAATGTAAGTGGAAGTTATGTTTATTAGCATTCTATTATTTTACATGATCCCCTATTATACTTGAATATACATATGTAGGCACATTCATTTGTGATATCTATAATCAATGCATCTATATGTACATATCGATAAAAGACAAATCATATTAGTAAGTCTTATTAAGAGAAAAACATACATGTAATCATTAGAATTAAAATGTTAATATTTTAAAGTATATTATTCAAATTCAGTAAACTGAAATGGAAAACTGGGTACCAACACTGTTTATATATGCCCGTTACTGTGCTCTGACTTGACCATATATTGAAAAATGTCAGTTACTTGAGGGTTAATATGGACATCTCAATTGCTGCAGTAAATAACTGATTAGATAGTTCTATTGACTTATATAAATGTGTTAGTTTTGGGTAAGGGACAAGGATGATCAAGATTCCAAATGGAGAAATATTTCATATAATATTCAGTATTTACAAATGTAATCTGTATTATCCTCCATCTACAGGCTAGCCTTTCTCTCCATTAAGATCCAATGCCACCCTGAATTTGATGATTGATTTCTACGGATCAGCTACCCCTTTTGTAAAATTCTGTTGTATCTTACTCTACTTAAAACATAGCTAGCTGTCTTTCCCAACTGTGATATTGTATCTATGGGTAACTACAGTTGAGCATATCTTGGTATATAAATAAAAAACTGACTATTCTATGCTACATGCAATTCACTTTCTTAAGCCTGATCAATAAGAATATAGTAAAATAGCAACACACTTTGTTCTCATTCTTACCTAACTTTCATGCTAACAGATTCTAGGTGATAAAAATCGAATGTAAAATATTTTTAAAAATGTTTATATGGCTGCAACATTCTCTCTTAAATAAACACCTCATATAAAAATTTTGTTTGTTTCTTCTCCTAGAAACAAAATATACTCCCTCCAAGACACAGGATTAAGAAAGAGGTATGCTGCTCTCTCTTGAAAAATATAGGCCATATTTGTTCCATTTCACATTGTTGCTTTGCACAGTTAATATCAATCATATCAAGCTCAGACTATCTCCATATATCTGCACAATACTAATTTGAAAACACTCTTCCTTGAAAATACTATCACCTAAACTCTTAGATTTGGAAAACACCATGTAAAAGAACAACTATTTCACTTCACATTTTGCATTACAACCCACATGCATGTGATTTCATAGGTGTTATCATAATGGATTTTATGTCTGTAAACTGTTTGTTCTTTTTAAAAATATTTTTCAAATTTAAGAAATTTGCTTTGGTTATTGTGTTGGGTGAATGGCAATCTTCTCTGGGATACTAACACCCTTTAATGCATCCCTTCAGACTTGTCACTGTACATGATGGAATATTTTAAGATCTGTACTTTGTTTTAGCAGTCTGGACAGCCACGGGGTCCTTCAGGTTCTTTTCCCAGGGCAGTTTCCCACATAACCACCGCAGGAGGCAGTAGCCGAGGATTTCAAGGTCACTTCGTCTGGACAGGGCTATAGGAGCAAGCATTAAGAGAGAAAGATGAGGGATAAGTAAGTTTTGAGAAATAAAAAAATTACTGAATGAACTACTATTGATGAAATATGAAAAAGCCAAGTGGGCAACGTATTTTGTTTGTTCAGCTGGAGTAAAACTTAAAACGCCTAGGCGTTTGGCCCCAGTCCACAGACAGGCAGTGACTTGTTGCTGTTGAAACTAAGGGTCAGTTTCCTCACCTCCTCCAACTTCATCCTTCCTTAGTCTGGCCTGTCACATGAACTTGATCTCCATGGCCTCTGACATGATCCAGACAACCCATAACCTGGCACCAACACTTTCTCAAAGAGCCAAGCAGTAAAACAAAGAAATAAATGTCTGCAGCTAAATTGCTAACATATGTTCCAGGAAGTCCACGGGGTCTGCATTGGTCATGCAGAGACCCTTTGAGCGCAGACTAAACATTGCTGGCCTCTTCTGTTCCACTCACACTAGCAGCATTTGAAGTTGGAAGAATATGACAAAACTGCCATCTAGTGTGCAGTATTAAAAAACAGGTCTTAAGATTTTTCAGTTAATGAAAGTATGGGATAAATTATGCCTACTGTTTTGGGTACATGGTTCTAAAATTTTACAAATATTATCTTTGGGCATATGAAGCACTAAACTAAGGTTCTGGTCAAATATTCTGAATAGAAAATATAAAGATGAGGCATTGGGGTACATGAGGGTATGTGCAGAGGTAGGGGAAAGTAGATTCTGAAGCCAAACAGAGACTTTCAGAATTTACTATAAAATGGCTTTTCATATAAAATACAGTAAAAGAACATTTTTAGACCACTGTGAATATCATTTAAATCGAACTACTAAATACCACAGATTAATTCCCTCACAATGTTTTATATATATATATATTTTTTTAAAGTGACTATTTCAAAAGATGGTAAATGAAATCTAAATATGTCAAATATAACAAATATTACTGAAATAATGATTAAAACGTTAACAAAATCCCACAAAATAAACTCATTTTTATAACCATTCCAAATTGTTATAAAACAACAGGCTAGTATTTACATTTCCACCATTACTTGAATGCTCATCTGTGTAGGGATATAAAATCTCATAAGTGCAATATGTGGCTGTTAAACTTGCTATAAACAGGTATCCTATTTTATTACCTTTCATTAAGTAAACTCCAAAAAGTCGCTCAGTTTTTAATTTAGAAAGTTATCTATGAAGAACAATGCTGCTAGTACATCATAACTACTTTTGGTTACCATACATAAGTTATTATAAAAGCAGAAGACAGGATTAGCTTTTACACATACTCTATCTTAACTGCTATCAGAGTATTGGACTATTAAAGGCCCTTCAGTCTAGCAGAAAAATTCTACAGTCCCATGGGTGCCATTTACTTTCTGCATAAGCTTCAACAATGTCCTAATGCAAGTCTTGGCTCTCCTATTAAAACAAAAACATAATCTCTACTACACTGTTTTGTAGTGATTTCTTCAGTAATAAATATCCCATTAATAATGGAATGGTTCCATTTGTACAGATGCATTCACAAGTCCCTTTTCCATTATGGCAATTCCCGATTACCACCACTTAAAAAAAATTCACATCCTCTAATTTTTGAAAAATTATGTTCTAGCACCTGCTTGGACGAAGTAGGCTATACACAAGAGGCCCTTTGAGAAAAAAACAATCAGAATTAAAATGGTATGAACCGTCCCAGTCACTTCCTCCCATCCCCCAACTGAGGGATTAATTGATATGAAGCTGTAAGTAATGACAAGGCATTTAGATTTCTGAAGCCAATCGTTCATAAACTGGTCTTCATTTGAAATAGCCCTTTGAGAGTTGACTTTACTTCACTATTATAGTTTGGTCTTACCTAATTAAAATACATTATCACATTTTTCAACCTTTTACTTATTTTCTTTACTGCACATATACTTTTAATAACCATAGTTAGGTAAATGTTTTACTACTGTTTTCATTAAGTTCTATAGGATACATGTAATATTAAAAGTCCTATAGTTACTCTTTCTCTCCATTAAAGAGTGAGATAAAAGTATTAAAAATACTTCTAAGTACATACCTTACCTGTTATTACCTCCCAGAGAAACAAATTGTAAAATCTGATGTGTTTTAGTGGAGGTAAATTCTAAGATTCTACCAACAATTGTCTTCTATCTACTGTACACAGAACATTTTAATGTATGTTAATTTAATTAAAAATAAATATTCTAGATGACAATAATAACTTCAATATTAACATCTTTGACTTTAAAATACATCAAAATAAAATAATTATTGAATCTAGGAAATGAATATGTCAATATTTACTACATTATTCTATTTTCTCCTTTGTATTTCAAAAGAATTAAATAAAATGCTGAAAATACAAAGAAAAACAAGAATTGTTCACAATTGAAGAGTACTAACAAATGCTTGAGAGGTTGTGGGGAAAAAGTAACCCTTATACACTGCTGGTGGAAATATGAATTGGTATAGCTACTATGGAAAATAGTATGGAGGTTCCTCAAAAATTTAGGAATAGAATTACCATATGACCTAGCAAATCCTCTTCTGGGTATCTACCCCAAATATTTGAAAACACTTATATGTAAAAATATATGCACTCTGATGTTCACTGTAGCATTATTCACTGTGGCCAAGACACGAAAACAACTGAAGTGTCCTTTGATAGATGATTGGATAAAGATGTGGCACATGTATACAATGAAATATTATTCAGCCACAAAAAAGATTAAATACTGCCATTTGCAACAACATGAGATTATGCTAAAAGAAGTCGGACAAAAAGAGTTGAGAATTATCTCACTCTTACGTGTGATATAAAACTGAAAACAACAAATGAACAAGACAAACAAAAATTCATAGACAGAGATGACAGTTTAGTGGTTACCAGAGGAAAAGTGGGGAAGAGTGGAGGTAGAGAATGGTAAAGGGGGTCAAATACATGGTGATGAAAGGAGATTTGATATTGAGTGGTGAACACACAATGCAATATACAGATGATGTATTGAATTGTACACTTAAAACCTGTATAATTTTATCAATCAATGCCACCCCAACAAATTAAAAATAGAAATAATTATAATATCTAAGTATAAAACATCTTTTCATTTAAAAGTTGAAATATAGATTATTGTTTCTGTATAATTAATTATATATAGGGTTCTTCAAATTATATTTGATAATATAATCATTAACAGTGTATTTTCATATAGATTTCCTAAAAAATCAAACTTTACTTTTGGTGTTATTGCTTGGAAATGTAGCAAGATTTGGTTATTAATATTTTTCTCCTATACTCTCTTATTAACTTCTAAATATAATTTAGCATCTAATTCTTATTCGGCTTGTTAATATTGGAGCAATGTAAAAGACTCTTCCTGGAAAGCCTATGGTTCTCAATAGCTCAGATTGAGCAATAAATTATAAAGTATTGCGAAGAGTAACAACAATTAAAAAAAAGGCACAGGTGGGGACTCGAACTCTATTTCACTAGAAAGCAGATTCCAGAAACAGCTGACATAAGAATGTATAATTAAAAGAAAAATAATTGATGTAATTTATGAAGCTGCTCCTGTGCCAGACACTCTGCATTTTATATTACCTCATTTAATCATCCTAACAATATAGAACAAGTATTAACCTTGTTGATAAATAAGAAAATAGAGGCTAAGAGAGGTTAAATAACCTGCTCAGTATCACAGAGCAAAAACTGACAGAGCTCTGCATTGAAATTTGTCTTTCAGAATCAAAGCCCATACTCAATCTAATAATTATTTTGCCTCCATCATTAGTTTTAACACCATTCTAACAACATCACATATACTACTCTTAGAGAAGTATTTGAAGAAGGCATTTTAACTTAAAACACCAAATGATACACTAATATAAAACAAAGATAGTTGTTTTAGCAAGGAATAAACAAGCATCGTATTCTGAGGTCTAAACTGCAGCACTAACAAAATTTTTCATGCAACTATCTTTTCATGAAACTTTTTAAAACCACTTCGCTCTGATGAAGAAGGGTGTCTAGTTAAAGCATTAATTTTTAAAGTGTTAAATGGTCTTTGGAAGCTGGTATGAGAACAACAGAGGAGTCAACTCAGAGAACTGGTCCTTATTCTAAAGACAAACTTAAGTGAAATTATTTAGGCCTAATGCGCCAAATGGAATGAAAGAGAAATTGGGAGAAAAAGAAAAGTGCAAGTGTTAATCTCAAAATGGATGTGATTATTTGCCTAATGTGTTTTCTGTTTAGTTTTATTTCTTTGATAGAGTAACATTATGAAGTGTGAAGATAAACAAGATGTGGTAGGAAATAATAAAGTTAACTTGAAAACTTTGGCCTCAAGCTGACAAGGTTTAAATGCTCAAAACTACTAGTTCATAAGCTCAGAAATAACAATAAGAAGGCAAAATGCATCTGAGTAAGATGTTCACCTGGAGAAGTGAAAGATGACTATCGGCAAAACAAATTTAAAGTTATTCTTATTTTTCTAACCAGTAACCTATGTTATTCGGTATTTTGTAAATTCAGATAAATTTTCTTTGCAATTTCAAAAAGGATATTAGGAAAATGCAAATTGCAAATAAAACATTAAACCCAGGTCTCTCTTATTTTTTTCTATACCTTTTAAGTACCTTTTAACTTTAGTTTATAATGAAACACAACTGTGTGAGGCTTAGGAAAGTTATTCAACAGAGCAAAGGTAAAGGTATCTTACATTTGGCCAATGTGTATTCTTACCCAACCAAATAGTTCAAGACCTAGGTCATGACTTTAAAAGTCATGCCTAAATGTCAAAATTGGGTTGTGCCACCCAGAAAGAACAGTGTCTTCATTACTGTTTATTTATACATCAACTAAAGACTATTTTTAGCAGTTAAATTTACCTAAAAACAGAAATCAACAGTATGTTTTTCTGATTATTGACAGATCAAACAGAGCATATCAATAACTTGATGGTTCCCCTTAATATCTTATCATAATTGAAAAATGGGTGCCTTTTTTGAATTATTGTTTAAGAGGATAAATATTGTGTAAATCATGTCACTTCACCAAGTTTGGTAACATGAAAATACATTCTCAGTTTATTTCACATATATTTTGTAAGCTGGAGTGCTAAACTGGAGTGAAATGAAACCATGCAAGAAATAACACAAGACTTGGATTTCATAAACCATAGCAATTGGCAAAAATAAAAAAGTATGTAATATAACTCTTTCCTTGATACCGAATATATTACATAAACAAATGGACATTCAAAATGCAATTTAGATATCATATGGTCATCAATAATGTCAAATTAAAACAGGTATTATACACTCACTGCACAGGTCTGAAGTATTTAAAAAAGCTCAATATGTTAAATGCAATATATCTCTAGAGAAATTAGGTATTGACTGCATGCCTCAGTGAGTAGAAAAATCTACAAAAATCCACACCACAGATTGATCCAAATATTGCTTTTTTAACATTACTAAGAATGTAACAAATTTTAAAATAGTATATTTGACACAGATATAATTCTCTTTAATTATCAGGCAATGAGCCCAAAATATGTCTATGTTTATACATGTTATTTTTTTATGAAGAATAAAAAGTTAATAATAGAAAAGATAAGCCCAACATATATGACTCTAATTTTATACTAAATGAAGCACTTCGGCCATCAGGAAATACCTTTAGGTCATACAAGAGAATTGAGTTTGGAAGAATAACTGCAATTTTTAAAAAAAACATTCAGATATATAGATGTATGATAGTTCCAGGAATAGTTATCTATCCATTCACCCATCTGACAATCTAACCATCCATCTCTATATATCCCTATTCACATTTTTTGGTTTGTAATAATATAAGCTACCCTGCTTTTACATAAAGTTGAACTAGAAAATGCTTAGGCGAATCTGCTGATTGGTGCCTTATATAATAAGCTCCTTCACTGTACAAATCCAACTAATCTACAGAAAAACAATTTAGCTATGATTTCTGAATAGCCATTGCCACAAAAAGTAGCAGAGACCAGATAGTCTGATCAGATTAACAGTCTCTGTTAAATGGCTAATTCATAAATCAGTTTTAGATTGAAGCCTGAATACTTCCCTGGGCCTGACCACATACAGATATACCTAACAAATAAGTGCTTTGACAACTAGAGGTTCCATTTCCTAGTGATAACTCGTTTTGCTCTTTATGTTTTCCTTTGCTTTATCTAAGTATTTATTTGATCTCATAGATGGATTGGTACAGGGAAGATTTTTCTGAGATTAAAATACATAGTGACTGTACTGAAAGTAAACACATGAATATTTAAGAATCTGACCTTCTGCATTGAACCTACAGGATTTATGGTCCTGTTTATTGTTTTTTTTAGATATGGCTAAATGATTATTTCATTTCTAATAAAATCCTAAAGTGAAATGTTTTATTTTGGAAAATTAAAAATGTTTTATTTTGCAAAACACGAGGAAAGAATAGTATTAAAAATTTTGAGGATATCAAACCTTTCATTTTATATACCGAACTAAAACTGCATATTAAAATTTCAGCAAATGTACATATATAGAGAGATATAGATGTGTGGGTGTATAAGTGTACATACATGTATCTATATACATATATATGTATTGTGTATATCTATATGTAGATATAAATATGCCTAGAAGTTTAGTGTAAATTCTATTTTAAATACATTAAGGGATCGTCTTTTTATAGGAATCCTATGAAACCTGTGATAAAAATATTCACTCCAGCATATAACTTTCCAGCAAATACCAAAAATGTGTTAATGCAGGCTCTTCCCTGAATAGTCCTCCCAGGGAGGTAATATCTTTCTACCATCATTCTCAATTCAATCTTCTCCCCTCAACATGGTGAAATCTACACAACTCATCAACATGTATTATTATTGAGAGTGAAAAAAATTAAATGGAGAGTGAAAAATTATTGAGAGTGAAAAAAATTAAATTAAATAAAAAAAATAAAATTTTACAGAGTAAAAATCTGTTCAGACCTTTTATGAAGACAGCACAAGAAAAACAATGCTCTAAGCTATGGAATAACTGCAGCGAACTTTCAGAATTACCATAGTCCAAACTGACCAGAACACCACGTAACAATGCTACTTCCCATTCCAAAATCTCACTTGTTTCTCAGATGTTTTAATAGTCGAAATCAGATTGGATCAGGATTACAATTATCAGTTGAAACAAGTGGTCCAATCATAAATGTCCTTATTAACCAGGGGCTGATGCTTAAGAATCTGTAAGATGAATTTCCAGTTATACCACTATCAAAAAAGTACTTTCGGGCTTCTGAAAATTCTTTCGTACTAATCAATCCGGCAAAAGTGAAGAACAAAATTCATTGAAAGTAAAAAAGAACTTTAAATTGAAAAAGAACCCACAATCAATGAGGAGTTGATTCTTACCTTTCTTAATTAAAGCCATGTCCATTTATATCTTTAAATGCTCACTGATTAACAATGTAAATGCTGAAAAAATACACAATATTACTTACTGAGTGATCATGATTTTTCTAAACAAACTATCCTTGAAAAGAAATTGTAGTGATTTCTTTTACTCTGATCGAAAGTATAAAACTCTAATTTCTATTTCAGAAAATTTAACCTATGATTCTTCCTGAAAGGAAGAAGGTATACAAACTGAAACACTTGTTTTACTTTTTCATTGGCCTACCTTAAACTAGTGTGGGTTTTAATTGCTCCGGAAAATGATCAAGACCCTCTACATTACATGGTCAATGGTCCTTTTAATAGAAAAGGCAATAATATACACTTGTTTGCACCAACTAAAACTCGTTAGAAAGTCTCAGTTTAAGGTAACAGTTCAACAGCCATTAACAAGTGCAAATGTCTAATTGCCTTTTAGTGAAAATGTGGTTCTTTCAAAGCTGTTTAAAAATTATTTGTATGGTAAAGCATATTTGAAAGTACTTTTATAAACAAAGTTTACAAAGACTATAATTTTGAAAGCCAAAGTTTTTCAATAATCACCATTTTTTTACTAGCATAACATTAGAATTGACTTTTTGTCTTGCTGACAGAGCAACTAAGAAAGTACAGTTGCATTGACCATATTGATTGTGAACAAAGCAACCATCAGTGGGACTCTGCACCATATATTTTCAATATTGACCTCCTACTTCCTTTTCCATGGCTTTCTGGGTCGGCTATTGGATTTGGACTGCAGTGTAATAAACAGCTAAGGTTTAATTAATGGTAAATGAATACAAGACATAGGTTATGACTTTAACTAATTAGGGAATTGTTGAATTAAGTCTGCCTTGGAATGCAAGGCAGTGCAATCAATATCCAATAAAAGGACTATGTATGTAATTTACCTGCAAATGTGTTTCCAATACCATCAAAGTGAGTTTAAATAAGTAAGATATATGAAAGGCGACTAGGAGAGATTTCCACAAGTTAACACTTTATAGTTTCAGAAAAGATTTTCTTATTGTTGAGATATAATATCTTCTAAAGTTCTGAGAAGGGCGCAATGAAAAACAGAAATAACTCTTCAGATGTGCACTTTTACCAAATCTAATACTCACTACAGGATAAAAATTCAGTTGCTGACTTCCAACTTTAACCTATACAAATTAGTAATTTCCTGCCCAAAATGGGCATCAAGCTTTGCTTACTTGACACCTTTCTGCTTTCTCACTTGTCATAGTCTATCTCCTCCCCCTGCTAAGACAAATATTCACTAGCATATAGGAATTCACTACTTTTGATAAAAATCTCACCAATGCTCTCACTCTTCAAACTGAGTATTCAAAGGTCATTTCGTGAAGCCTTATTACTCTTTAATCATTCTTCTGAAATAAAATAAAAAAAGAAACCTACCTACTCCTTTGTGGGCATCTAAGCTGGTAAACTCCATTGTCCCATTATGGCCTTTTCTAGGATTTTCCTGATACTGTTTGTGGTTCCCATTGGGACAATATCTGTAGGAAAGTCCATAATCTGCAAGATAAACCTGGAAGACATGAACAGACAAGTGAATAATGCTTTCGTCCTCAGAAAATATAACCTTTATAATTAAGTCTTAAGAAACTGTTAGGTTAAGAACAGCCTTTAGATCTACATTTTATTAATCTAAATGGTGCCTTAGGATAAAATATATACAACGGGGGGCCATAACAACTAACTTTCCAACTTAAATCTTTACTTCACCATAGGTATATCTTGTTTCTGAATTGACTTAGATTTTCAGTCTTTTTATTTTGCTCCCAAATTCTCTTCCCTCCAGGTGGGCATCTAGACATCATAAACCACAACATGTTTTTTATCTGTATTTATACAGTTTATGAGGCTCTGCTTTTTCTTATAACCCCCTCCCTGTAACATAAAACTGTTTCAAGCAGGGAGGGGGGGATGACAGCAAACAATCTAAAAATGTAAACCTACTGTTACAGGAGTCTCCATTAACAGGAAGTATAAAAATAGCGAACAGACTATAAGAAGTAATGACTAAATAAACAGACAAACAAAAAACAAAAGAAAGCCCACCAAAATACCATTATATTGTCTGTATTTAAGAATGGAATATCAATGCAATACTTTTGGCATTTCAGACAGATCCATATCATTACTGTTATTTTTGTAAGTCAGTCAGAATTGCTCATAGGGTCTCTAAACAATATAAATTGTTAAAAGTCAGAAGGTAACTCAAGTAAATTTTTCTCAGATTACTTTTAGAGAAAGAAGTACTTTTACAGATATAGCATACACTGAATAGGAAACTGTTATGACTAGATATTTATTCTGATATGTAGTTAAAATATAGTAGTTGCCAACTAGATGTTACCATGCTCCCTCAAAAAGAAAGCAGTTTCAACTTTTAAAATGTGTTCTTTCACGTGTATTTCTTTAAAATTTAAGGATTGAAGCAACGTTTAATGATGTAGCTTTAAGACAATAAAGTACTGTAAAAAAATTGTATTTTAAAATGTGATATCTATTAAAAGAAACTTTAGTATTTAAATTTTAGTTTAATTTTTTGGTTTCAGGATAGCCTAACTAGGAGGCATTTTGAACTTCAAAATATAAACAGCATAGAGTTTTCTTCGTTTGTTGGGGAACATAGTTTGCTACAGTGTCTAAAAATATGATATCTCAGTTTTGTCTCTCGACCAACGGCCTCAAAAGTAACTGATCCCTCTGCCCTAAGTAACAAGACTTCAGGATCAGATGTATAATTGGTTGCCTGTTTTCACTATTTATGATGCATGTTTACCTTTATTTCAAAAACTAAACAGACAGGCTTCACTTTGCAAAGTAGACATTCCAGAAATGCACATACTGATAATTCAACAACTGGAAACATGTATTAAATACAAGAGAACTTTACTAAAAAGAAAGAGCAAGAAAAAAAGCTATCAAGAAGCTTTGCATGTGGTCATTAACCAAAAGTCCTAAAATTTATGGAGTACATAATATACATCTAAGCATGCTAAGAGCTTTACATTCATTGACTCATGCCATTCTCACTGAAATCCTGTAAGTAGGTACCATTATCTCCATTTTCCTCAAAATCAAACTGAAGTTTAGTGAGATTATGTAACTTGTGTAGTCAAATGGAGCCAGAGTCTAGGACTCCAGAGTCTTCACTCTCAATCACTGTCAAAGGGAAATAGCACTGCACAAGGTAAACAGAAACATTCAAGGCTATTGCAGTAGGTGACAAAGACTACTGCAATAGGGCAGAGATTAAACTCAACTCCACTGAAACAAAAGGTGGGGAAGTTTTTAATCACCAGGGGCGAGCTAGTGGAAAGTATTGGAGGACATTAGGGGAGGTGGTAAATGTGGCCAGGTTATCTATGTTTGCTAATTGGTGCTTAGGCGCCTAACCTCCTTTCAAGACTGGTGGTTGAGGAGTATAATGTTTCTCAAAGATAACACTTTAAAAAGATAACTCCCAGGTCCTTGAGGTAGGACATTTCTTTGTTGGGAAGTTTTTGATTACTGGTTAAATCTCCTTACTGATTTCCTGTACAGATTTTTTATTTCTTCATGATTCAATCTTGGTAGGTTGTAGAATGCTTCTCGGAATTTATCCATTTCTTACAGGTTATCTAATTTGTTGGTATATATAATTGTTGATTGTAGTTTCTTATGATTCTTATTTCTGTGTTATCAGTTGTAATGTCTCTTCTTTCATCTCTGATTTCATTTATTTAGGTCTCTTTTCCTTTGTCTGGCTAAACATTTGTCTATTTTGTTTGCATTCAAAAAACTCCAGGTTCAAAGATCTTTTCTATGGTCTTCTTAGTTTCTATTTTCACTCTGAAATTTATTTTCTTACCTCTGCTAACTTTGTGCTTAGTTTGCCCTTCTTTTTCTAAGTCCTTTAGGTGTAAAGTTATTTTAATTGAGCTCTTTTGTTTTTCTTAATGTAGTACTTTTTTTACTATAAACTTCCCTCTTAGAACTGCTTTTGTTGTGTCCCATAAATTATGGACTATTGTTTCTATTTTCATTCGTCTGAAGGTATTATTTTGATTTCCCTTTTGATTTCTTCTATGACATACTGGCTGTTCAGGAGCAGTTTTCTTCATAGTATTGTGATCAGAAAAAGTGATTGCTATGATTTCAATCCTCTTAAATTTATTAAGACTTGTTCTGTGGCCTAACGTGATCTATTCTAAAGAATGTTCCATGTGCACTTGAGAAGAATGTGTATTCTATTGCTGTTGAATGAAATGTTTGTATGTCAATTAGGTCCACCTGGTTTAACATGTAGTTTAAGTCCAATGTTTCCCCATTGATTTTATGGCCAGATAATCTATCCATTGTTGAAAGTAGGGTATTGAAGCCCCCGACAATTATTGTACTGCTCTCTATTTCTCCCTTCATATATGTTAACGTATGCTTTACATATTAGGTGCTCCGATATTGGATGCATAATTGGTGGTCCTAATAGAGAGCTGTGGGTAGGATTCAAATAACCATGGAAGGCTATTAAACAAAAAAGTAAAACAACTATCTCCACCTCACTATATAAATCCTTTTTTTTAGTTTGGATTTTTACCTATTAGTATGGCATGTGGTTCAAAATACATATATTCTTATAGATTCGATGAGAATTAGATAAATTATCTAAAATTCTCATGAAAATTTTACTACCAGAGTCTATCCATATTTTTAAATTATAGATTGTGAAGCACAACTAAAGAAATTTAGGAGCGATTGTATTTGGTGGATAGAAGTTTAATATGAGGAAATAAAGCCAATCATTTGTCCCAAGTAATCAAAACGTTGACATTATTTTGTCTCAAATTAGATTAAAGTGAGAGTTTCTACTAAGATAACTTAGTAGAAATGCACAGTCTAGAATTGTTTTACAACAATTCAAACTAGGGAAAAAAGGCTGGGAAATGTCAAACAAGGAAGTAACATTTGTTGAAGTTCTAATTATGTGATAATCACTGAGCAAAGTACCTTTCACAAATTATTTCATTAAATCCAGTCAATCACCCAACCAGGCAGCATTAGTCTCATTTTAGATATGAGAAAGTTCAGCGTCCCACTAGTTAAATAACTTGCTCAAGTCATAGAGCGAGTAAAGGATGGAAGAAGGATTCAAACCCATGCCAATATGATTTCAAAGTTCATTGTCTTCCTTTAAACACAATATAGAATTTGGGGTTCTGCCCATTTCTGAAATTTTGTTGCAGTAAAAATAAGTTTAAGTACAACTCAATCTACAGTAGGGTTTGCAGTCTAGGTCCTGTTTTTGCAAGTCCTTGAGCTATGAATAATTTTTACATTTTTATAGGACTGTAAAAAAGAAAAAGACGATGCAACAGAGAACCATATATGGCCCAGAGAGCCCATAGAAGCCTAAAATATTTACTGTCTGGCTCTTTACAGAAAAAGTTTGCCAATCTAAAGTACAACTTGTTTTAATTAATTTTTTTTTTATATTACTCCTTTTCTGCGAAATCAAAAATAACTAGTCGATATTTTTTATTTTAAGTATAAATACATAATTTTTAGGTCAGCCTCTAATAGGAAACTCAAGATCAATAAGATCAGGTAGAGGGTGATTATTTGCATTATAATAAGACTAGACATAGGAAAATTTAAAATCTAGCTCCCTAATGCATTTTAAACGATTTTCTTTTTATGCAACTTTTCTGAATTTAGTAATTGTTTCCTTTCTCTACGAGTAAAAGGATAGCCCTGACTGCTTCTTTTCACAGATCTATTACCCTGCACTGCCTCTCATATTTCCACTAGGTACTTGTTTTTTTCACCTTTCTTATATATGCTTTTTTTTTATTATAACTTTGTGAGGAAGGTAGCAATGATGTGTGTCATTATTCACATTTAACAGATGAAAAATAATGTGATGTACCCAAATACTGCAAGTCACTCAACACTAAGTCTAACTTCTACAAAGTGTTTTGTTTAGTGAATTTCTCAGCAACTCCAAAAAACAACTAATCTGAATTAATGCTTTTATGGACTTTTGATTTTAATATCGTATTATTGAAAAGGTAGTGTGGAAGTCACTGAGGTATAACTCCATCATGAAAGAACTGACCTTTCATCCATGAGGAGTACACTAAGATGAAAACCTGCAGTAGCTAGATTGTCAGGAACTGCCACAGCATAAGAGCCAAGGCCATACTCTTCCTGGGAAGTTCCTGCCAAAGAGTGATCACTGTGGGGATAGGGAGTGGCCATCTCCACCCAGAGAGTCTTCTAGGGGGTCCTTTCTGCTCTGTTGCTCCCTAATGGGTTGGCCAAGACTTTATCAGAACTGTATCATAGTCTGAGCTCTCCCTGCCCAATCCTCCTTGTCCTCCTTTCTTTCACAAGTGTCATATCAACATCCCCATTCAGAAAGTTTTCCTTGTCCAATCCTGTTTCTTCTCCTTTTATCTCTCATAGGTAATAAACTTCCTTCCCCAAATAAAGTGCTTGCTCTCCTAATTCTTTCTCAGGATCTGCTTCTCTGAGAAATGG